TATTTGGTAAAATGTTTTTTAAAAACCTATGTGTCACTTGTCTCAGCCATTAATTGATATGAGTTCTGGGAATGACAATTAATTTTAACATTACCTTAATTAAGCCAGAGTGTAGTCAATCATACTTGGCAAAGGAAATATACTGTAAAAATATGATGCAATCTAAGACCAAACAGGAGTAATTTTTGGCTAATTGGTTGTTTTGTGCTATTCACATCACCATTAGCATGAGTGATTAGAATTCACTAAAATGATCAGAAGTAATTACATTATTGATAATTGTGTATTGATTTGTAATTACATATACAAGGAGACACTCAGACTATTTGTCCAAGATAAATTTCACACACTTGTTTTTCCATCAAGACACCTTTGACTCACAGTTGAATTCTCAGCACTTCCAGTTATGGTCTGGAAAATTAGACTAATTTTGCCGTGGGATTCTGTCTTTTTATATATATAAATTTATTTGTTTTATTTTTGGCTGCATTGGGTCTTTGTTGCTGCATGTGGGCTTCCTCTAGTTGCGGCGAGTAGGGGCTACTCTTTGTTGCGGTGTGCAGGCTTCTCACTGTGGTGGCTTCTCTTGTTGCAGAGCACGGGCTCTAGGAGCGTAGGCTTCAGTAGTTGTGGCTCACGGGCTCTAGAGCGCGGGCTCAGTGGTTGTGGTGCATGGGCTTAGTTGCTCCTCGGCATGTGGGATCTTCCCGGACCAGGTCTCGAACCCATGTCCCCTGCATTGGCAGGCAGATTCTTAAGCACTGCACCACTAGGGACGCCCTCTGTGGGATTACTTCTTACTCCTCTTTTGTGGGTACACTTGTTCTTAGGTGAATAGGTTGGATAGCTCTTACTTCTAGAGGAAGACAGTAGCCATAACAGAAATGCAAACACATGTGTGGTTCAGTGAATTCAGTCACATACACATTGTTTAGTTAATTCTATAGTGATGTGAAAAAATGTCACAAAAATGTTAACGATCTCTTTCATGCATAGAGTAGTTTCATTCAAGGGTTCACGCTGCTTTCTAAGTACTAATTCATTAAACCCAAACTTTCTGTGTCACATTGCTCACTTTTGCTCTTTCTTTAAACCTAACACTCTACCCAAGCTGAATTCCTGATAATATGGTAAGACCGAAATGAAACAGAACTAAAACATGAATGGCCAGGCATAGTTCTGTAGGGAAATTCCAGTTTAAGAAGGTTCTGTTGTAACAGGGGCGTGAGCCCCCACTCCCTGGATTTATGATGTGCTCGGAGAATCCGAACAGAGTATTTGACAACCAGCTCTTCCTGCTCACTTCGGAAAAGGTAAAAATTTCTCGGAACTGGGATCCGTAGGAGAGAGCACGGCATGAACAAATTCTGCAGGAATCTGACTAGGAGTGAGAGGATCAACTCTCATCAGCAACAAGGCTTCGGGGCATCACCGGCGAGTTACCTGATTAATCAGCACCCCTTTACTACCCTCTTCCACCCCAACCAGGTTTTCTCAAGTCTAGAGCCCCAATACATGTGAGTAATGAAGTTTTCATTCAGAATTCGCTTGGAATTCGGTGAGACAGAACAAAATAGAGGTGAGGTACTGCAGGTTGGCAGAGGGGTAACAAATCCCCCACAGCAGACAGTCAAGACAGCGACAGAGGCCCCCCAGTGCTGGCTGTCACGGGGTTAATTACTCAATTACTGTTCTGTCCCTGCCCCTCTGTGGAACTCAAAACCGTGGAGGAGCAGAGGTAGCTCACGTGTCCCGTGTCAGCGTCCCTCCAGTCCTGAGGCCTCGGGCTGGCTACCTCTCCAGCTTTTCTCTCTTAGACACCTACAGGTTTTGTACATGTCTCAGACCCTCTGGGATTTGTTATGTAAAAGCTGGCTTATTTCGCAAATTAAACCATGCTAGTGTGTTGATAAGTGCTAATGATGCCTAGCTCTTCCCAAGTAGCAGTCATGAGATGTCACAGTGGCTTTCTGAAGATAAGTGACCATAGTTCACAGGTGTAGCTGTGAGGACGGAATTTCAGGGCTTTCGGAGAGCTTTGGAAGCAAATAGCCCTTAGCAGGTATTCAATTCATTCTAATAAACCTCTGTTGGGTATTGTTATGCCCACCTTGACATCCACTTGAACCAGGTTTTTATACATGGAAACACACAAAGCATAACTGGGTTTTCACTAAGCGCCACTTTCATTGAGACTGGCCAGGACTGGAGCAGAAGGAGATGAAGGGAAATAGTCTTTCCCCTTTTCCAAGGCTGGATTGTACTTTGAGAAACAGTGTGCTGTTTATACGTCATTCAACACAGCGGGGGAAGCACAGGTGGACTAGCTGCCCAGTAAGATGCACATGTTAAATACAAGCACCAGGAAGACCAGGTGGGAAGAGAGGTGTGTAGTTCCAGGTGGGAGATTAGGAAGGAAGGCTTCATGGAAGAGGTGGCATTTGACCCTGGACTTGGATGGGTGAAATCCGACGTGTGGCCATGACTTGGGTGGGGGAATAGGAAGAGGAGAGGCACACGTCAGCAAAAGAGATACAAGAAGGGGAGATGCCCCACAGGCAAGTGAGAACTCCTCAGGTGACCACAGGTGCATCAGGGAGCGCAGGATAGAAAGTAGGGAAGGAAACTTTGTGTCTGTGAAGCCTTCAGTGTCAGATCAAGGAGTTCTTTGGTTTGTAGGCAGAGAACCATTGTAGATGGTAGAGCAAGGGGACTGTAACCCATGGCAGCCACAGTAGGAAGATCAGAAGGGGAAAAACAGGGTAGGGACTCTGAGTGCCTGAATTAGGCAGTGGCAGTGGGCCTGTGGGGTGGATGTTACTGAAGCTTGACAACGGGCATGACTCAAAGCACGGAAACCAGGAGAAATGGGGGCTGCTCTCGAGTAAGAACACAGTAAGGGTGGGAGGCAAGTGGAGTTTGATTTCAGACATAACGTGTTTTGAAGACGTGGAAGGACTTCCAGATAAAGATGTGTCTCAGGACATTGGAAATGCCACGAACACTCTCCCAAGTGTACTTAGTAGTCATACAGAGACCTGCCCCAATGAAGACGCATCTGCTTGGAATCCAAGTTGACATTTGATGTGTTTAGTGTAACATAGTGGTTTTCTTTGGAACTAACCTCAGTTACAGCATCAGACATGGATGATCAAGACCCACCCACGAATTAAAGCAGAATACATAATTTTATTCTGATACCATCTGGACCTAGACTGACTTGACACACTCGATGTGTGGAATGCACAGGCCCACTTTGCTGTGAAGAAATGAGCGCAGAGATTTGCTCTGGAGACTGGGGTTTGAATCCTGGTTCTGCTGCATTTTATTTCTCTAAGGCCTTCACCTGTAGCCCCAAAGCCTCTCGAGGGCTCTCTGCCTCAGTGGTCTGTTTATCCTGAAAGGGGGAGAGACTGTGGTGGAGCATACCTGTGTGGCCCCCCACGTCCACTGGCTTTACGTCCAAGACCATAAAGCAGAGGTGTTTGGGGTTCGCCCGTTTTAAGCTCATCATTGATCTGTATTAGATCAGTGAGACCTATGTAAGAAATGCCCACAGCTCTCTAGTGGTCACTGAGGAAGAAGGCTTGGTCGTTGTCCCCAGAGCTGTCACTCAGACTAACGAGAAAGATAAAGGCCAAGGATATAAGGGCAGAAACAAGTAGATAAGATAGTGGGAGCACAGTAAGGGGGAGGAGAGATTTTTCTGGAGTTGATGTTAGGGACGCTGTGGGAGCGTGTGGGCAGAGAAGGGGGGCACCCAGGGTGAAGGCCACTAGGTCTTCAGGAACCAGCTTGTGGGGGGCGCATGGTGTGACTGCAGATAGGGGCCAAGTGGTGGAGGGTCTGGAGTCTCCCATTAAGAGGGTGGACTTGTATTCAGTAGACAATGCAGGAAGTATTAAATTGCCTATTTTTGAAAGGGGAATAAATGCCACTGTGTTTCCGGAGCCACCTTCGGCCCCTCCTGCCACAGGGTCAAGCAGATGGTGGTGGTGGGGCCACCAGGAGGTCTGCGATAGGGGCTGAACTGGGAGGAGTGGGTCCGGAATGAAAATGACACGCGAGAGCCTTGAGGGGACAGGGAAGCAGAGGGTGTGTGAAGACTGAGGAAGACAGACAAACACTCCCGGGACTCTCCCCAGCCTGGATCATTAAGAAAATGGTGGAAGTTATTAGAAGCCAGGAGGAGGGGCTGGTTTGTGCAGTTCGGGGTTTGGGGGCATCTGGGTGACGTTATTCAGTTGGACAGTCGGAGGGGTGAGCTAGCCTCCCCAAACGGTCAGGACTGGAGGCCCAGGTTTGGTGATGCCCCCAGAGATGACACCGGTGCGGTGGGGGCGGAAGAGAGAAGCGCGGAGGACGAGCCGTAGGGCCCTCGGGCGAGGGCGCGGGAAGACCTGCTGAGGACACGGAGCCCCGGGCTGAGGACGGGCCGGGGTATCAGGGCGAGCGTGCTCGGGCTGACCGGGAACGTGGAGATTCGGTGACCCATCTCTTCTCTAGCCGCCTTCATGGTGGGGAGACGGAGCCGAGGGAGAGGCACTGATTGTAGCCTCCGGGCCAGGCTGGCAGGTCCTAAATCAACGCGAATTAGGAACTTCCAGCCTACTCCTCTTTCCACAGCCCACGCTGTCTTTTACACCTCCCGCCCCCAACACACAACGTATTTATTAAAAAAAAAAAAAAAATTCAGCCCGCAAAGACCCGGAACGCCGAGGCCGGGGGCTCCAGCAGGTATTTTTCTGCCTTAGGCCTGGGTAGGCGAGGGCCGTGCCGGGGTGGGGGAGGCCCCGCTGTGCCGGTGTGCGAGCCCCGCGCCCCCGGGAGCGCGCGCTGCGCCGGCCCGCCCTCCGTCCCCGGTGCGCGTCCCCGCCCGGCCCAGCCCCGGAGCGCGTGCCCCCGCCGCCCCCGCCCCGTGCGCGCTCTTCGCCGTCACGCGCGCGACGCGGAGCCGCCCGGTGGAGCGGCGGTGGGCGCGCTCCGGGCGGGACGGGGGCGCGGGCGCGGGCGCGAGGCCTTCGTGCCGGGGCCGCGCGGAGGAGGCACCGGGGAGGAGCGCGCTGCGCCGCCGCCCGGCCTGCCGCCGCTCGGTGCGGGTCCGCGGGGCGCGAGGAGCGGCGAGACCGCGGCCTGGAACAAAGGGAGGCCGGCTGGGGCGGGGGCGTCGCGAGAATGGCGGACCGCAGCCTGGAAGGCATGGCGCTGCCCCTGGAGGTGCGGGCCCGGCTGGCCGAGCTGGAGCTGGAGCTGTCGGAAGGTAACAGGCCCCGCGCTCAGCCGGCCGCGCTGTCACGGGGGCCGGGGCGC